TATCGGAGCGGCGCACGTGCTCTGCCCCATCGTCGGAGACTTGGGCACGCGCCCACCAGGGAGCGAAGCACCGCCCTCGCCAAGCAGCGCCGCCGCGCTTTTCCTAAAATCTGCCCTCCAGCTTTGGCGTCGCGGGTGCCCTCATTTCGCCGCGTCGTCGGGGCCGGGGCCGCGCGCGTGCGAGCGCCTTCCGCTCGCCACGTGGGTCCACGCGCCAGCACCAGCACCCTCGACAAGATTGGCCCCACAGCGCGCGACGCAATTTACTAATATGTTCGAAATTCTGGGCATGGGTGGCGCCGCGAGCGGAGGTGCTCGTCGGCGCCCCCTCTCCATTATTGGTCATCGTTGGACTTCCGAATCGCGACCAGACCGTGTTTCGCTCTGTTTCGAAAAAGACGGGGCGACATTGAGAAGGCAAAAGGCGGCGACTTCGCAGGAGCACGCCGGCAAATGTAGTAACGTCGGATATTGGCCGCGGGGGTCAATGCAAGCAAGGGCGGGCAGACTGACAACGACTGGTTCGCAGTCCCGGCGCGCGTGCGCACCTCGGTGGGAAGTGTACAGCAACTACGGCCCCAAAGGGCGTTCCGTACTAATTTTTGCTCACTCGAGAATGACCCGTAGTTGCAAAAAGTACTTTTTCGCTCTTCGTGTGAGAGATCGCTTGGAACTTGCATTCCACGCGGCAGTGGTGGAACTGCTGCGTGGCAATTCACACATGGTCCTCTTGGTGGGTCGCGCCTCGTCGCCGCCCACCTTCTGGGCCCGAATGTCAGTCTGGCGCCTCCGTAGTCGCCGTCGCCGCCCCATCGCCGCCCCGTCGCCGGCCGTCGTCTGGGCCTGGGTGCGGGTATGGACCTCCGTGATCGCCGTCGCCACCACATCACCGCCTCGTCGCCGCCCGGGCCTGGGTGTCAATTTGGCGGTTCGGTGGTCGCCGTCGCCGCCCCGTCGCCGCATGTCGTCTGGGCCTGGGAGCAGGTCTGCGTTTCCGTGGTCGCCGTCGCCGCGCCGTCTTCGCTCTAGACTGCATAACGTAGATTGCACCGCAAGGGTACTGCGTTCCTAAAACAGGATCAACGACCGCCCCACGGGTTTGTCAATCGGTACCCACTAAAACAATACAACTCACACACGGATATGCCCCATCGTTCGTATAAACTATAAAACCATACCATCCCATGATGAAAAACAAGTATATGTGTTCAACACGTTCGGCAAATTAGACCCAACAAGCAAGCCTGTCACGCGCGCAACCCGAAAAGATTCGAATGTCCTTGCGCGCCTGCTGGGGGGGCACGATGCATGTCAAATAACGCCCTGCGGGCCAGTTGCACGCGTCGGCCGCGTGCGCATGTCAAAATCATTCGAATACGTTCACCACCAGTGGCCTTGCCGTCGTCATCGTCATCATCGCCACTGTTCTCGCTACTATCATCAACGTATCCACCTTGGTCGACGCCACCATAATGCCGCGCCCGTCCGAATCACCGACGCGACGCCTGTCAAATAACACCATGCGGGCAAGTCGTGCGCGTCGGCTGCGCGCGCATGGCGAAAACCGCCGACGCGTGGACATCATCATCGTCATCGGCGTGACCGGCATCGGCACAGTCATTGGCCTCGCCCTCATCACCGCCATCATCGCCACCATCACCGGTACCATCATTCAAGTATCCGCCTACGTCGACGCCGCCATGAAACCGCGCCTTCCCGAAACACCGACTCGCATTGAAGCGTCCGCGCGCCAGCGCGGCCTGCGAGACGCGCGGGGCAGTTCCCAGCGGTCAACGCCACCGCGGCAGCGTCGGTCGCGCCAAATTGGTTGGCCGCTTTGCGCGCGAGCTTGCGCGCGTTACCGCGGCCGCAACGATGCGCCAGCCAGCGCCGCTCGCCGCAATCGCCGCCGCACTGTTTCTGCAAACCCTGTTGCGGGCGGGGAAGCAGGATGATTGTGCGAAGACTTAAATTGACAATTCCATGCTCTTCTGCCCCCCCACCCCGGGAATATCGACAACCTTGTTTCGCATTGCAATTTACATGTGCTTTTGCCCCGTCGTCCATCCTAGATGTGGACGCGTGCCATCCCAGGCAGGCCGGTATCGAACCCCCCCGCAACAAAATATTATGCGCGCGCACTCGTTTAGCGAAAATCATAAGTATATTAACCCTTTTGTAAACAAAAAACGAAGTGTTCACGCGCGTGTCGTCGCGCGCGCATGCCGAAATCATTCAAAACCCGCCCGTGTCGTAAGGATTTTTAAGATCGGATGCCCAAGAATCAGATTAAAACCCATGGTTTCACATCAAAGATTTTGAAAACAAAACAAGCGTGCGCGCGTTTCTGCGATTTGATTATTTTATTTGCTTGTACAAAAAAACATATGTTGTTCAAAATTTCCAAACATGGAAAATACAAAACGGGCTTCGCGCGCGCATGCCAAAATCTCTCGAGAACCCTTTTGCGCACGTGTCGTCGCGAGACTCTGTCGCAAACAATGTGACGAAATGCGCGCGCGTCGTCGCGCGCACATGCAATGAAAAAACCTGCGATGTCGTAGCGAATTCAAAACCGAATGTCCAAACAACATACAAACACACATGGCTTCGCAACATCAGTTTTCCTCTTATACATAACTACCATACAACCCAACAAATACATAAATACATAAAAACGTGCGTGCGCTCGCGCCCTTGCGCATTCGAAATAAACTTCAAGTTTTTCGGCATCGCCAATTCTGCCAAACGGGCCTCTGGCGCCGCATGCCGACATCATTCGCGCGCCCTTGCGCGCTGGGGGTGGGGGACGATCCGTGTCGCATAAAACCACGCGGGCCACTCTCGCGCGTCGGCCGCGCGCGCATGTCGAACTCTTTCCAGAACTTTCATCGCCGACGCGAAGACGCCGTCATCGTCGCCGGCGTGATCAGCATCGGAGCCCGCACTGGCCACGCCTTCGTCGGTGTCAACATCGACACCAGCATCGCTACTGACATCATCGTGTCAACCGTTGCCGACGTTGCCATGATACCGCGCCCGCCCTAGTCGCCGAATCGCAGTGAAGTGCCCGCTGGGATGTGCCCAGCGGTCAGCGCCACCGCAGCCACGTCGGTGGCGCCGAACTAGCTGACCGCTGCGCGCGTGTGCTAGGGTTGGCGCGGCCGCAGAGATGCACCAGCCAATGCCAACCACGCATCGCAATCGCCACCGCGTGGGTTTTTCAAACCCATTTGAGGGTGGGTGGGTGGGATGTTTGCAAGAGCATGGGATGTGTCAACTCGCTTGTTCAAACCAACTGCACCACATCGGTTGCGCCCTACTCAAAGGAATATGGATGCCCCCGTCCGAAGCTATCGACCCCCGTGGGCTGATACGACTCAAACATGATTACGCCTCTTCGTTCACTTGAAATTTGAATACGCACAACCACGGCTAGACCTTTAACGGACCCACACAAACACCCTGCATCCGTGTCAACAAAAAAACGCGCACACCCCTTTTTTATCAGATAATGTCACGCGGGCCACTCGCGCGCGTCGGCCGCGCAGGGATGCCGAAATCGTTCGGCAACCTGCTTCACCGACACGTGGACACCAACATCGTCATCGGCGTGATCAGCACCGGCGCATTCACTGGCCTTGCCGTCGTCATCACCATCGCCACCATCATCGGTACCATCATCAGTTCTGCCGTTGTCGACGCCAGCATGATACCGCGCCCGCCCGAACCACCGACTCGCAGTGGAGCGCCCGCTCGCAAGCGCGGCGTGTGGGACGCGCTGGGAAGTCCCCATCGGTAAACGCCGCTGCGGCCGCCTCGGTTGCGCATAAATGACTGGCCGTTGCGCGCGCGAGCATGCGCGCGCCAACGCGGCCGAAGAGATGCGCCGAATAGCACCAAGGTCACACCACATACATATCACAACGAGTGCACCACATAGTTCGCACAACCCAAATTGCTAGAACACTGTTTGGGGGCCACGCTGGCTATCATACGAAAAACCGCATCTAGTATAATGAACCACGAGGGCACTCCTGATGGCCGTGGTCGCTGTGAACTTGCAATTCAAGCGGCACTGGTGGCACTGCTGCGTATCAAATCAGACAGGTTCCGCCACCCTTGGGACGTCGTGACGGCGCGAGTGGCAACCTGGGTCAGAAGCGGTCATCCGCCATCCTACGCGGCGCGGGAAAGTGAGGCTGTGGGGATACGCAATGAAGAAAATCGAAACGAACTACCATCAATCAAATTAGCCTCAAAAGCGCGCAACACAAATTACTAGTATATGTGATGTCCTGGGCATGGGTGACATTGTGTGCGAAGTACTTGTTGGCGTCCCCTCTCCAATGGCGGTCATCGTGGAACTTGAGAGTCGCGCTCAGACCGCGTTTCACTCTGCTTCGGCATTGGCGGGAGCCACATTGAAGGGGCGAAAAGCGGCGACTTTGCATGGTCGCGTCAACAACTGTTGAGAATTGCAGTGTGGCATTGTGCCACTGTGGTCGAGGACTGCAGAGCGGCCTTGTGCCAGCATTGGCTACAGTCATCGTGTTACCATACGGAGAGCTGAGTGAAGAGAGAAGGGTTTTCCTGGCTGCGGTAAGCAACGGCGACGAAGAGGATCCCCGACATAGCGCTAGGGAACGGCTCGAAAAAACAAGAGCCTGTCCAGAAACCAAAGTGGTTAGTATCTTATCGGCTTGACTGGGGTATGTTGTAGAAGGGAGCGTGGAAGAGGGCAGGGCCGATGGCTCGTTCAAGCTGGCCAACTTGCACCTCCTCTGACGCTTCTTCCTTCTCCTCCTGCTCATCCTGTTCCTCCTCCTCCTCCTCCTCCTCCTCCTCGGAAGATGAAAATGCGAGACCGGGATTCTTCCGTAACCAGCGCCCGGGTCTTCGGGGACCTCGGCAGGCGGTGGATATGGATACACTCGAGCCTCGCCCAGGTCCAGAGCACGCGGGTCCGAGACATTTCGGGAGAGGGTGGGGCGGCGGGCCTGGGGTCGTAATCGTCCGCCTCGCCCGTGAGCGGCGGGCTTCGCCACAACTTTGCGTCCTCGCCGCGGAAGGGGGGGCGGCGCCCTTCAGTCGAGCGTGCTGGTGTGCGATTGGCACGCGCGCACGTGTGTCGAACGTGTGGTGGCAACGTGGATTGTTCTGAATGGTACGTGTTGAATATTATGTGCTCTGTGTGGGAGTGCTCGCGTTGTTGTTGTGCTACGTGTGTTGCGTACGCTGCGGGCACAAGTGCACCGTCCATGCATGCTGCGTGTGGGGCGTTGTGAGCTGAGTACGTCTCTGTGCTGCGTGACCGTGTAATGTGCGCTGTGTGCTGGGTGCCGTACGCGGCGCGTTTGGCACACGTGCAGCGTGAGTACATGTCCGCGGGCGAGTGTGCGTCCCTGCGAGTCTCAGACCGAACATGCCTCTTGCGCATATTAGATGAAAAAAAGCAACTATGCACACGCACCGGTCCTGGCCAAGCCCATCCTCGGCCCAGGATGTATGCATACGCCCACCTGGCAGGGCCAGGGAGGCAGATGCACCGCCCGTGGGCCCAGGACGGGCCTGGCCAGGATCGCTGCATGTGCAGATTCCTCTTCGCACGACATATGCTTGACTCGCACGCTCCCCTTGCAACGAGATGCTTCCAGCCGCCAACTCATGGGCAGCGGTGCTGCTGAAGCGGCAGCCCCCCGTGCAGCAGCTCCTCGGGGCACGGCGCGCGCCGATGGACGGACGTGGGCTGGAGCGCGACCCGGCACAACCTCGGGAGCTGTCCGCACCATTTGGTGCTGGCGCTGCCGCTTCGGCGGCGTGGCATCCGCCAGGTCCGATCGAGCAGGTACCGACCGTCCCAGCATTCCTATAGGCCTACCACGAAATTATCTTGAAACCCAAACATGTTCTAAGAACAAAAACAGTGGTCTTAGGATGTAAACCCGACGTGTTAAAACAAGAAAGTCTCGGCCAGAAATGTTCTAAGAACATTTCGTGCAGACCACCAAAGGTTCTTAGAACATTATTTGGCGGGCCTATAGGCGAGCCAGGACGCTTCGCCACTGCTTGATCCGAGGGAGAAGAACGCAGAAGCGGCCGTGGGCATCTCAAGCGGCGGCGGCTGACGCGACCCGCTGTCCGCTGCGCGCGCGCTCACGTCAGCGCACCCTCCTGAAGTGAAAAAGGCTTACGCCAGCCAGCCTCAGCGCAGCCGGCGGCACCTCATGGCTGTCGAACCAAGGGCCGAGGAGCCCGCTCAGGGGGCTCGCGGGCCAGGACCCCGAGGAGTGAGGCAGGCTCGCCAGCCAGGGCTCGTCCCGAGGCTTGTGCGCAAGCAGCAGGACGGTGCCCACGCGGGAGAGCGCCATGACAGTGTCCCGGATGGCACGCGCTGCCGCCAGCGAGTAGAGGACGTCCGCCAGCAAGATCACGTCGAACCCGCCCCGCCCGCCGACGAACTCGAGAGCGGCGAGGCGGTCAGCCTCGCGCCTCCAGTCCAGGGCCCGCGCGGCCACGGGAAGCCCGGGGCAGTTGAGCGCCAAGTTCCCTTCGGTCAGCGGTACCACCTCGGGCCTGTCCGTCAGCAGCACGCGCCCTCCCAGCGCGAGGGCCGCGACGATGCCCGGCAGGCCGCAGCCGCTCCCCAGCTCCAGGAAGCTCCTGCCGCCGAGCAGCTGGCCCGCGAGCGGGCCCGCGCGCCCCGCCCCCGCGCGCGACGCGAGCCAGTCTGCCAGCACCACGCCCCCGTCCCACAGGTGGCCCCCCGTCGGCATGTCGCCCGCCGACAGCTCCTCCCGGATGTCGGAGGCCTCCCAGATGGGGTCGGAGCAGACGGGGTCGGAGGATCCCGCCGCACCGCCGATACCATCGGCGATACACTGCCGCTGCATCGGCGATGCCTCGGCGATGCATCGGCGACGCATCGGCGACGCCAGCGCCGAGATTGCTGGGAGCCGCATCGCCGACGCATCGAAGATGCGGCGCGATCCTCCGACCCCATCTACTCCGACCCCATCTGGGAGGCCTAGAGATGTACACCCGGCGGCCCTGCAGCCCGAAGCTGCGGAAGCAGCATGCCCCGCCGCCCCAGACGGAGTCCGCCAGCCAGCGCGGCCTGCGCGCGAGCGGCGCCGCGAGGCAGGGCAGGCACGGCGCCGCCGCGTGGGCCCGCCCTGGGCCGCCCAGCGCCTCCACGGTCAGGCCGCCCGGCTGGACCTCTGCCGACGAGTGGTTCGCCCGGCACGGCGAGCGGGACCTGGAGTGATGGGCCTGTTTTCCACCACCACAACCTTCAGTTGGAGGGGGGAAGGAGGTGGAGGACGAAAAAGAGGAGGACGAAGCAAAGGAGGAGGAGGAGGAGGAGGAGGAGGAGGAGGAGGAGGAGGAGGACCTCCTCCCCCATCCAACTTATGGTGGTGGTGGCGGAAAACAGGCCCATCATTGAGCGGCTGTCGCTGCCGCTGGCCGCGCGGGCGAGGCCGCGCGGGCGCGCCTCGAGCCGGAGGGCCACGCAGGCGCGCGCCAGGCGCGCGGGCAGCGTGCCACGCACTGCCGTGTGCCACCCGCCGCAGTCGAAGAAGGTCGACCGGTCCGCGCTGTCGAGGCCCACGAGAGTCAGATGCTCGTTCTGGGGACGCTCCTGGAGCCACTCGCTCCACTTTGTGCGTCGACTTGGGTCGAAGTTGACTCGGACTTGAATCGAGCTTGAATTAAACTAGAACCAGTGAGATCTGCTGGGTGGGCCCCAGGAAGGTCCCCAAAACCTACATCTGACGACAGCGTGCCCGTCCTCGTCCAGGAGCTCCACGAGCAGCTCGTAGGGCTCGGCGACAGGCATGTTCATCTCGTCGGTGACGCAGGCGACGAAGGTGAGCACTCCGTCCCCGAGGCGGGGCACCGACGCGAGATAAGTGCGGCGCAGCATCACGGCAACGGGCAGCCACGCAGGTCATGCATTCCATCAGCCGGCCATGCAGGGCCGCGGCTCGAACGGGGGATCGTCTCACAGCAGCGAAGGAGGGGAGAGGGAGAGGGGAAGGGAGAGGGAAAGGCAGAGGGGGGGAGGGGAGGTGGAGGGGGAGGAGGAGGAGGAGGAGGAGGAGGAGGAGGAAGAGGGAGGAGGAGGAGGAGGAGGAGGAGGAGGAAAGGGAGGAGGAGATGGAAAAGGAGGAGGAGGAGGAGGGAGGAGGAGGAAGAGGAGGAGGAGGAGGGAGAGAGGAGGAGGGAGGAGGAGGAGGGGAGGAGGAGGAGGAGGAGGAGAGGAGGAGGAGGAGGAGGGAGGAGGAGAGGAGGAGGAGGAGGAGGAGGGAGGAGGCAGGCAGCGATGAAAGAAGTGTCAGGGTCACTGACACCCCCCAGCAGGAGCGTGAGAAGCCAGGCAGGTGGGACATTGGCCACCCGTGCCCAGCTCTTATGTGCCGAGGCTCGGCCACCATCTCAGCGGAAATGTAGGCTGAGAGTGGCGAGGCGCAGCACACGCATCAATCGAACGACAAGGGTTCGCCCGATCGGGGATGCAGGCCCCTAAGGACCCTAGAAATATTGCTCTCCTCGTTGGCCCGCGTTGAGGCCACGGGAGAGTGGCCTTGACAGGCCTTCGTCGTGAGTTTCGGATTTCGACCACCATTTATCGAAAAGGCCCCGCAGGCAAAACAAATAACGGCGGGGCCGAATCGTTCGGCGGGATGTCCGAGAGAAGTGCACACCTCCACCACCCCATCAGCAGCAGCAGCGGCAGGCAGCACACCTCCTTCCTCCTCATGGAACGGGCCTCCTGCGGCCTCGACCGCCACCTGCACCGACGGTGTCGAGTCTGACACGTAGTGCTGGGGGGTCAAACGGAAGAAGCGCTCCGCAGTGGCCCGATGAAGGGCCGAGGGAGCGCAAGCCGAGTTTCGCAAAAAACGATAGGACAGGGCAGTGCGAGCGAAACGATTGCACGACGAACACCTGTACTCTGAGATAGCTTTACAGAACACCATCGTGTGAGATGTGACAGAAAGCGAAGGAGCGGGGGTGGCCTTGCGGGGCGCTGGGGCGTCGGCAGCTGGCTGCAGCTGCTCCGCCTTCCGCGCGGCCGCCTGGACCATCCAGGCAAAGGCCTCACCGTCCTTACGAGCGACCTGCAATCTGGATTTGTGCACATCAACGAGGACCTGCGCTACTGCATGGGACTGCGAGCCCAATTTTGCAAAATAATCGGCCCATTCGTTTCCGACGAAATCAAAAACTTCGGCCGCCCCAAGGGGCAACACGTCGTCCAGGGAACGATGGGCGCTCGTCCAGCGAAAGATGGGAGGCTCCGACTGCCCGATCTCGTGCCTGATCTGCCTCCAAATAAACGCCTGACGGGAAGCACCTGATTCACACAAAGAAGAGAGCTGCCGACCTGTCTTCACCAAACTAAGATGATCAGACACAATCTCTGCTGGGTGCGCTGCGATCTGGATGGCTCGTAGGGCAGCATAATGTTCCGCCCTCGGGACGGTCTGAAGCCTACCTGGAAGCGGGCCGTAGATCGCTCTGACTACACAGCCAGACTCATCTAGTTGGACCACGGCCCAGCCACAACGCGTCAGGCCTTCCATCGAATTCGCCAGGCCTGACCCGTCCGTGTACACCTTCGGCCCCCACACTCCCCGCCAGTCACCCCACCCCATCGTCGGAAGCGAGTCGGCCACTGGCTCTGGAAAAAGCGGCAAGGGCGGCAGCCCATAATTTAAAAAGAAAGCTTCCTTGCCGTTATCTGTCTGGTAGCTCTTGACCAAGCTGGCACGGTGCTCCAGGACATCGTCGGGCATAGCTTCCTCAGGCCTACACTCAAGCATGCCATCGCAACCCCACCACTGGTGGGCCTCGGTGCCGACCTGTTCTTTACACACAAAGCACAACGGCGTCGGGCGCAAATTAATCGAATGGAGGCGCTCTGGAGTCCAGACCCCCGCAGCCCACAAGGACCGCAGCGCCCCACGGCGGCCCCCATCACGGAGAGCAAGCACTGATTTTCGAAGCGCACGACGCCAAACAGTGTGCCCCTCGTTGTCGGGGAAATGGGCCAGGACCCTCGCAGCCTGCCACCTCCGAATTCCCTGCTCCAGGAAAACGCGCACGTCCTGAGGACATACACGGAGCAGGTCGATGGGCCAGCCCTCGTCGCTCACTAAGGTGGTGGGTCCCGACATTGACCAACCTATCCGAAGGAGCGTATACCATACCGAAGAAATAGGACCCCTGGCATACTTCCACGCCGCATTGTGCTGAATTCTGTCTTTAATCGCGAGCCAAGCTCGAGCAAGACGTGAAGGGACGACCCTGGCTTCCCAGACACAAGTAGCAAACCTCACAACAAGCGGAACCGAAGCATCGAACACAGGGTCGAACCTATCGTCCTTTTGCGTGCACAGATAGGTAGTGAGGCAGGACTTGGGCTTAGCTCCTACCATTCCTCCCGCAAACGTTCGAAGCTCTCGAAGAGAAACGTCGGACACGCCGCTAACGCCACCACCGTGGCTGGCTGCTGGGAGGAGCCCCGTTCGCCAAAGGGCCTTGACGGCCTCTGGTTGAGCCTGGCGGAGCCCCCAGACCTTACGCCTCTTGGACTGCAAGACCCGAAGTCGGGCCTTCTCTTGGACCCGCAGAACCTTGACTCCGTGCATCTCGTGCCCTAGATTACGCATGCCGTGCTTGCTGCGAAAACCTAGCTGCGAAATGTGCCGTGCGAATGTGTCTCGAGCAGCACAAGTGTTGGCCACAAACCCGCTCTTATTCGCCTGCACTCGCAAACCGAGGGGGGCAATATCGTGACAGAAAGACTGAACCGCCTGCGCTAGCACATGCGAGCTCTCTCCTGGATCTTTGCCTTGGCGGCGTCTGCCCGCCCAGTTAAAACTCACGTCATCCATCAGGTCCCTGGGTTCCACTGATGGGAATCGCTCCACCGACAGGTTCAAACTTCTATACAGAAGCACCGTGAGCAGAGTTGTGGCTAGCGAACACCCAGCTAAGATCCCTTGGGCCGTGGAAACCGAGTACGACAAGCTACCAAAGGCTCTAAGGGCTCTAGGCTGGGTGTAGTTCTGGATGGCCATCCAGGCCAAGCGGAGCGGGAACCCTGTGGCCCTGGCCTCCCCTAAGAGGGCCTGGAGGTCTACACATTCATAACATTTCACCATGTCTATGAAAACAGTTACACAATCCTCTCGCAATTCGTGCGCAATCTCCGAAGCTAAATTTAAAGAGAAGGCGCTGTCGCTGGACGATCGCCCTGGACCCGTCCCCCACACCGTGGGATGCGCGTGGTCACGCTCCCAAGCGACAGCTGTTGGACGGCGAACACGTCCCCATATCCGAGTGAGGGTGTGCATTAGGGCGATCAGCCTGCAGCCGCCTGTGGACTTCGGAATACGCACAAGCTGGGTGAGAATGCGAGACGACGGCCATATCAGAAGCTTTTCACATCGCATGAACAGGCGCGCCAGCGACTCCAGGCCGGCGTCCGAAACGAACCAGAACGCTCGGGGCGCAAACTCGAAGTGCCCGATGCCCGTGGTCCAAGGGAACTGCAAGATCGCACGCTTGATATCGTCCAAGGATATATGTGGTAGATCGTCCCACTGATCAGACCCGTGTGGAACTGGCTCAGGAAGATCATGCATGTGCCATATGGTGTCCCACTCTCGCATGGCTCTGTCCGCCATCTTGAATGGCTGCGCCTCCGAACCAGGAAGCAGGCAGGCAGCACAAACTTCCTGAAGTGCGCGGCCTCGAGTGTGACGGTGTGCGAAACGACCTCCACCTTTGAACGACGAAGCCGCCCACTCTCGCCAACACGCTAGAGCCGTGTCATTCTGGCGCTTCTGGCAAGCGTCCGCCCGATCGATGATACTTTCAATCATGTGATTCGTGCTACCACTAGTGACAAAACCGATGTCCATGTCGAAGAAGTTCCGAGCATCATCATCCAAGGCGTCACGTAAAGGATCGTTGCGAATCCTTGCCATGAACTTGGCGATGTCCACTAGCATGCGAGCCAACTTGTCGAAAGCCTTGTTGGACATCGTGCCCGCCCGCTCCTGATGGCATAGCAGCACAGTCTGATTGACAAGGCTCTCCTTATAGCGGCGTAAATGGCGGGCCCATCGGCCTGCTGCTCTCCAAGCTCTGTCTCGTGTTGTCTGCTCACCTCTGCGCCTAGGCGGCTCCCAACGCAACTTAGTATACTGCATTTGGGTGTCTCCGCCTCTGCCTCGATAAGCTTCTGTGTGAGATCCGACAATATCATATCTGGCAAGCAACTCTATCTCCAGCTGTGCCAAGACTGCATCCCATGCAGCACCCAATGTGGGATTATCAATCGCTTGATCTATAATACGATTGACCTGGCTCCAGTTCAGAGGGTATCTAGCGCACCCAGGCTTCGGCTGTCTCGAAGGGCGCTTCGGGCTGACCAGCGTGCGAGTCTTCAGAACAACATCCTTCCCCATGATAGGTAATACTACTGGCAGGTGTGGGAATGTGTCTCCATTTTCCTGCACATACGGGCGGCTCGTTCTGGGGAGCAGATTGGTGGTCATCAGGAAATAGTCTATCGTCCTGCCTGGCAACGACTGCCTGCACGTCGAGACTGATGGGCGTGCCAGCGCACCTCCCAATCCATACAGCCATTCCATGTCCCCGAACTCAGCCTGCTCAAGGTTGAAGTCTCCCGCTACGATCCAATCAAGACCCATTGCGTTGACAACTTCAATGTACTCGCAGATCTCAGCCAAGATGCGAACGTTATTATCAGAGAGGCCTTCATTCACATATAGATATGTTGAAATCAGAATGAATCCCCCAGGCACCCCCCAATGGACGTGGGCAGCCAGCGCTCTCCCATTCGCCATATGGGGCGTCGAGCGCCCTGGGGGGGCCGTGACCAGCACGTCTCCCTTAGCCAGGATGGCCAGGCCCGCCTGAGTGCCCTCCTGGTTGCCCGTCTTGGTGGCCGAGCTCCAGACTCCATGCCAGCCAGGGTCCAAGGCTCGATGCTGCAGGTCTGGAAGACGATCC